GAGAAAAGGGAAACGTGGGGGTTCCTCCAGGTGTCTAGCAGGCTATGTCAAGCTTTGTAATCTGTTGCTGTGTTTCTTTGTACTTAGGAGGTTATGAAGTTATCCAAACGGCGGCAAAAGCTCCATTTCGTGTGTTGCGAGTTGTGTTTTTCTCCACATGAACCATACTGCCCTGTGCCTTTGTGGCGTGGAGGTCTGCCGCAAGGCAGGACAATCTGCCACAACCTACAGAAAATTAAGAGGCTCAAGTTTGTGCTTTGGGTCTGCAGGCCCAGAAAATCCTCCCTCTCCACATCCTTACTGCGGCTAATCAAAAACAGGCATTCTTTACCACTGGTGTTTCATTCTTACTGTTTATGTTATATAACACAAGAAAAATCTTACTGTATTTTCTACAAGATAGTATGATTGCTTTCACTATGAACAAAAGCTTATTCTTTTATATGTTAGATACTTTAAACTATATTTTCATATCTTAGAAAATACACGGAAGATCAGAAGACCATAGAAGTAGGCCTACACAACGATGATGGTGATGACGATTTTTATCATCATTATTATAATCATCATCATTGGCTTACTTGGAACATGTGCTGAATGAATCCATAAAAATACACCCTATACTATTATGCTAAACATGATATTTTCCTAATGATAAATGTATATGCAGGATTACGCAACAGCACGTTTCTGTCCTTAAGTGCTCAGCGACCCTCTAAGGACAAAACTCTGCTCACTTCAATCCCCCATAAAATCTTTACTCTAAACCTTCTAGCAGACACTTTCCGTGTCTGGCCTGCCAAATCTTTCACCCGCAGACGAAGAAGACGTCATATGGAACAAGTTTAAAACAGTGCTCTCCGACTTTGTATGTTCTGCCATTGACTGAATGACTGAACTCTTTGTTTTGGAAGCATTATTGAGAGAAAGAACAGCACAGAAATTACGTGTGAAGATGAATGTGAATGTGCACAGGGTTTCACAAGAGGTGCTTCTGAGCTATTGAGGCTCAACCTGTAATGAAACCATTACGACAACACTTGAGAATTCTATGTATACTTTGTCTCCTCTTGAAATATTTTTCTCCATAAAATGGCCTTCATTTTGTATGTTTTGCAACTGCTGCAGTCAGGTGCATTTAACTTGTCAGACGAGCTACCCCAAAACTGCACGAATATTTGGACACATCAGAACAAACTAAGTATTTCATGAACTGTGAATAAAAATGTAGTGACTTTTCCACGCTATTTCAAGCAAGACGCTTCCCAAAGAATAGAAAATTTAGCCTTCCTTGTTGAAATGAAAATGTTGGCTTTTGTGTTTTTTTGTTAACGGAGAAAAGCACATCCATTCCAAGATTATGGACTATTTCTATTTGTGGAAATGGCTCAGGCAATGTTATTTTGGGCAGAAAACAACACAACAAAAGTTTAAAAAATGTGCCCAGTCCCGCAAGCCATCATTTATGCGCAATAAACAGACGGCTAGAATGTGGCTGAATGCAATTTAATATGAATGAAGTTGTTTTTGTTTTCCGCAAAGATTATTCACAACTGTGCTAATATTCCTTTTCTGAGTAACAGAAAGGAAATTAATTGCAATATTTTAATCGCACACAAGATAAAACAATTTTTTTTACAATTTACTATTTAATGGCCTTCCAGGTATACAGTAGGTACCAGCAGGTCCCTAGTAACCCTGTTCAGGATAAGTAGCTGGAGGATGGATAGATGGATTGTTTTCAAACTATCACCAGCTTCAAGCACCTCAAAGCACTAGACTGTCCATCCATTGCATTAATCTGTCCTGATTACAGCAAAGAAACCTGAGAAAATAACTGTGAGACCTAACAAATTATTTTTTTCATTAGGAATTCAGATGAATAACATATGCAAGTTACTTCAAAACAATGATGAATTACTTTCTCCTTAATTTATCATTTCTTTCTATTTAATTTTCTACATTTGTTTTCCTAATATGAATAATGCCTTATCTTTCATCCACCCATCTTCCAACCTGAACTTAACCTGATTATGGTTATGGTAAGCCTGTAACCTATCCCAAGAGCCCAGAAAACATGGGGCACCAAGCAGGAGGCCCCAGACCAGCCTAGATAACAATCCACCACAGGGCACACACAATCAGGGGCAATATAGAGACATCAATTTGTTATCCATATATTTTTGTACTCTGGAAGGAAAGAGGAGTATCTACAGGAAATCTGAGCTAAGTGGACAACAAGCAAACTCCAAACACACAATGGGGACAGGAGTCAAACGTTAGAGCCTTGGAGTGTAAGGCTACAGTGCTGATCATATACCCACCATGCCACATCAATAAAGCCTGGGCGACACAAAATAACAGGTGTTTTAAGACATTACTCCTATCTCAAAGGCGTTCTTTGTACATTTTTGCTGAATAATGCTTTTCCACTAACTGAACAATTCCCCACTTTTCTCAGCTACTGTAGATACCAGTGACGTCTTTAAAGACTTCCACATGCACCTGTTTTCATGCTTAGTGATGCAGAGGGCAGGCTCTATCAGAAATTTTGTTCTAGCTTTGTTTATTTTCTTGTAAGATACACTATGATGAGAGCAGAATGATAAGAAACATGTTTGTTACAGTGGAATTTAAAGGCTATTATGGTGGAAAATGTAGTCTTAGGTCAGTGGACAGTACGTAGCAAGTTGAGCTCCTGTGTATGTATGCATGTATAGGTCCAAATTAAAACGAAACAAATTACAAACAGCAATGTTTATCTAGCTGGTAATTAGAGTAGAGCTATTTTATTTTATTTTATTTAACTCATCAAGTCACAGGAATCAAACTAGGGCTGGGCAATGTGTTGAGTTTCTAAAATATATCGATATATTTTCATACGAGATATAAGATGAGACAATATTGTTTATATTGATATAGTTTATGCTGCTGATACAGTTTAGAGCCGCCAGGTCGCCTATCTCTCCTCTCCCTGTCGGTTTCTCGCACAACTTCACCCAGCCTGACCCCCTCCCTCTCTGAACATAACCCACCCCTCCCCCTCACTCATATGTCCTGCATGCAGGGACAGCATGGAGACAGACACAGACACGAGGCAAGCTAACGAAGAGGAGCTGGTTGATAAAACTATATATGCCGGTAGTTTATTTTTGAGCCATTTTTTGTATGTACATATACAGTTGTCTGTTAATAAAAGTGCCTGTGTGACATTAGGAACATTTGGCTCCGACTTGTTCTTTATTTATAGGAATAAATATAGAGATATATATCTTATATTGTCATTCAGCTTCAAAATATCGAAATGTGATTTTTGGTCCACGTCGCCCAGCCCTAATTCAAACCTACCAAGACATATAAACCAACTTTACTGAACTACACACCAATGCATAATTCAAGGACTGTCTTGAACTGACTGTCCTGCCAAACAAGATGATCCAATAGTTTGAAAATTAATTACAACAAGGTAGTAATGTAGTCTTTAAAATAGCAAGGAATGCCAATTTTAAGATTATGAATACGATGACATTAAATTTATTAGAATATGAGACTAATCAATTTAATTACTTAGTCTGAATAATCATTATATTTATCTGGATAATTGACAATAATTAAAGAAAACAATAATTTGACTGTTGAATGGGAATTCTGCATTCTACCACTATTCAAAATCTGGTTCATTTTCACATCATTCTCCAAACACGTTATAAAGATGATCTTAGAAATTGGCAGTTTTTGCTTGCAAGAAGAAACTAGCAAGACAGCACTTCTAAAGCTGCATTTTGAATGGACCCATATTTATTCAGAAGGTTATTAATTTTTGGTAAATTGTTTTAATAGTAGAGCTTAATGACATTTAGTTGGGGGCTTGTGCTCAGGTAAATAGCTAACAGTTGTCACAGGAGTAAACACTGTGAGGTCAAGTTCATTCCCCAAATTCTTTCTTTGGCTTCACACGCTGCACTCCTCCTGTGCACTTATGCCTGTGACACTCCCTTCCCCACAGCGGGCTCTCATTTTAAACAGGCTTCCCGTATGCCCAGTCTTCCCTGTCAGCCTCTCCACTTTGCCACCATCTGGCCAATTAGTTCAGCCAAAATAAAAAAAAAAAGAGAAAGACTCAGACACAATGAAACATAGACACTTCCCATCTGCTTGGTACCAGACTCAGAAGCCATCACAATACAAAAGCCTGGGTTTGACCCCAATGTCACGCATTGTTTGTGGAACCCACTTCTTTCTGTGAATCACCTCCACGTGTGGGGCTGACAGAGCCTGTCGGCACTACATCATCAAATATGCAAATATCCCATAAGTGAAACTCACATGAGCTAAAATAAATGCTACATTTTCACAGCTTAGGTGTATATGATGAGGCATCTTTCTGCAAGATAGAGGCTATTAGCAAGCTGTCTAATTTACCAAGCAAATGCATTAAAATTAACACAAACATCCACACATTTTAAATCAGGCATTTGATTAGATAAAATTTGATTAAATCAAATAAATAAATTTCCATAACGGCCAAATGTTAAATTTAGCACCTCTGATGTTGTGAAGCACAAAGCTAATCAATGACTACTGGTGTTGAAGAGAGTTGTTAATGCTCGCATTTTCCTTTTGCTCTTGCTCATAAACATATTAAATTATAGGGTCTGCACTATAACTCTATCCCTTTATATGCACCAGAATAATTTTTCACAAAAATAATTTTAAAATCTATGCAATTAATAAGTAGTAGCACAGAATGTTTTCTAAACTACAACTTGGTGTAATGCTCTCAAGATAATGCCTAACACTGAATCCTTGTTGCTCTGTAAATCCCAAATTCCAAGCTGTAAACAAAGACTGGCAAATAAACTGCCTTCACACAATATGGAGAAGAATATCAGAAATTCTTTTCAGAATTTCATCCCTGTTAAACATGCTGATCAGTTAGCCAGGCTTATTTCTTCTTTTGCAATGCTTTGGTCACACTAGGCATAATTATGAGATCTTACCATCTTCTTGTGAATTTTTCCCTCTTCCTTTGCAACCTTGCTGCTCTTGCACTGCTTGGTCATCTTGTGTTCGCCGGATTGTTTGATGGTTATGCGTATCTCAGGGGGACATATGAAGTTCTCGAGGCTTTTTGGAGGCTTTTTGGCCCGCTTGGTGGTCTGTATCTTCAGCTTGAGGCTGCCTTCTGAGAAGTTGGCCTCCTTAATAGAAAACTCTTGCTCCTCAAGCCCATCATGTGACCATTTTCCACTGTCCAGCTTGGACCCTCTGAACTCAACCCCCTCTTTAAGTTGAACGTTCTTCCCAGCCATGGATAGCCCACTCTCGATGGTGTGCAGGGGACCTCCCAAGTTCTTGGGGAGGTCAGCCAGAATGGCCTCGCTTCTGCTTGGGTGCCTGTCAGCCTCCCCCGCCTTTAGTCGGGCGGAGCTTGCGAGCTCTCTTTGCTCCATTGATGTCCCTGGATTCCGATTCAGAGAGAGGGACTGCACCTCGGATGAATGGCTCAGTCGTCAGCTGTCAGTACAGACTCAAACGTCCCACCTTGCCATTGCCCCAGAAATCCAATGACATATGCACATCTGCCAGAGAACAACTGGGGATAGAAAAAAGCATATATTTGAGGAGGTATTGACCCACTGTAACTTCTGATAAGTTCACTTTATCAATGTTCCCTCTCAAATGCATTTTACTTCTTGGAGACAGATTTCTTCATTCTAACCCTAATCTTCCACCTTAAATTACAAGCATATTAAAATACTTATTGAACATAACTTTGTTAAATCAACATTAAAAAATACAATTTAAGCCTATCACACAGTGCTCTTTAAACAACCTCTCCAAGTGCATTCAGCACTAAACAAGTCAATTTAGGCATACCTCATAGCTGTGAAATGTCTAATATATGTATTATACACTCAGAGCTTTATTTCTTTTCGATCTCAATCTGATATTCTTGCATAGCATGCAGACATATACATATTTAGTTCATACACAAAATGACATATGATGCACATACACACAGATAAAGAGGTATGAAACTTTTTAAAACACCTGAGAGACAATCCCGGGTATTGATGTTAATTTCATAATGACTGATAAGAAATTTATTTCTGGCTTTGCATCCATCCTATAAATTCATAGCGTTATGTGGAACCATGCAATTTCACAGGATAAATGTGAAAGACATTCCAGTGGGGTGTGGAGTTTTTTTAATTTAGATTCTGAGTCTGCATTACCTAAAAATAGTACTATAATATAATAGTCATTTACCTTTACCTAAGAATGAGTACACTAATTTTAAAATAATATATGCATGTAATATTTTGGATGCCAGCATCCCAATGCAGTAAATTGTTTTGAGGTTAAACCATTTAATACATTAGTGAAGGTCTATTTGTGAATGAAGTCTGATTATGAGTTATGAGCTTATACAATTTGTCTGCAGATGAGATGCTGTGTCAAGTTGGGGTGTAAATTGTTGGCTGCAAGGCAATTAGATTCAATTAAGATTGAGGGCAGAATTTGATGCATCAGAAATGTTAAACATCCATCACGATTTGATTTGTTTTGATAAGCTAAATTCAAATCTTTTATAACTTCACAAAAAAGTCACAAATATTACCATGGAAACTTAATTATGCACTATGAATGGAATACAAAACAGTAGAATCTCGGAACATTCATTTTTATTGTTATTATTAAATAGAGAGAACAAGCCAGTGTAAATTGTCAAAAGGCGGATTACTGAAGGGTTCAGAAAAAAATGAAATTCCTAAAAGAAGGGCTACCTGATGGTTTGGGGGGCGGGGCGAGACCTTGCCAAGCTGGCACATATTAGCAGTATGACTTTACATTGTCTGTTAATCTGTGGAAAGTGTAAGATCGATCTGCAAGTCAGATTTAACACTGCATTATAAACATGTTGCAGGCTAGTACTTTGAGACCTCTTCCAAGTGGTGAATGAGCAGATTAAATCCCTTGTCCTCCATTATGGCTGGTGATCCGAGGCAATCATCTCCATTAAGTTAATATTTATGTCTTTAGCTTTAGCGATTAGTGAATATTAATCAAGTTTAAATTGACCACCCAGGGGTGTGGGAAGCTGGAGGGATGGGGAGGTATGTGTATCCCCCCCCCCCCCCCCCCCAAAAATTATTTATCGTCAAGGTTGAACCAGCATTGAGTATTGGTATTGGCGATACCAACCTTTTATCTAATTGAAATCGGACTGAAAAGAAGATCAGTGGTATCGCCCATCACTAGAGACTTGTGTTGAAAACCAGTCAGTAATGTCATTGTTGTTTTGATGGGTTAGCAGTATACTAATGCTATTGCCTATATTAACAAAAACCAGTGGTGTAAAGTACTTGAGTAAATGGACTTCGTTACTGTACTTAAGTATTTTTTTGGCTACTTTGTACTTGTACTGAGTATCAAAAATATAAGCAACTTTTACTCTCTACTCCACTACATTTGTGACTGAATATATGTAGTCTTTACTCCACTACATTTGAACGGACGCTTACCGTTACTCGCTACATTGTGATTGCGTGCGACAAGTCAGGATCTTTATCTACCACGGCTAATTTCTTCAAGTATGTCTGGCTGCAGCCTGCAGGAGGGCGGGGTTGGACATCCAACCCGGCCCATTCGTACCGCGAAAGCCACGCCCTTGTCCAACACGTCTTAAAGCGGAAGCCAAAGCGACCTCGCAGAACGGAATCGTTGTAGTACCTGTTATGTCATT